AGTCTTTTTTATAAATTTCGTACAGACTAAACTCAAACAAAAATTTAATCTTGAATGTGTCGGTATTATACCAGGAAGGTAATGAAATAAGTGTATCGAGTTTCGCGTTCGTATGCAAATGATGGTTTTAATTTGGTATAGTAACCTTATGCTATGTACAATATAACGATAATGATCATTGATTCTCATAACATAACGATCTACTTTCTTATTGATTCTCATGACATAATGATACATTCTTGTTTTTAACTTGAATTATATGTAATATTTGTTTTAAATGTATAAAAAAGATGCCATTCTGTCTATTCAACACGAATATGATTAGAATATTATTAGAATATTATTAGAATATTATACGTACAAATTTTACACAATCCTTTTGATAGGGTTGTCCGAAATACACCCGACGCATGTGTTAACAAATTCTGAATTTTGTGTTTGTAACATATTTAATCAGAATATTTTATTATTAACCTATATATGCAAGTTAAACCTTTATTTAGGTTCAATTTATTTATATCGATTTAGCGGTCTACACATTTCCTAATATTTTAACAAAATAAATGAATAAAATTTCAAGATTAGGTCATAATACTAAATCTAATCAAAAGCTTTATTATATAATGTAAAAAAAATTTTATTAAAAAAATCATATGTAGGTATCTTAAGAAAAATGTTCAGCACTTAATTTTACATATAAATACACCTTTAATTCTACGTGATCTATTCTAACATACCCTAATCTAATATATGGTATATTTTTTTCTTATAAATGGGTACCATACTCTACAGGTATTTTTAGAAAATTTCTTTATATAATTATAACGTAAAATGTTATTGAAACACTAGTACGGAAAAATTTTTTTTTATAAAATTGTTATGTCAGCCCATATATGTAAAAAGTAAATTCAACACTCGGCTTCGGACGGGAATAATGAACTCGTTACTAACTAGTTTAGGGCTAGAATAGACTTTTAATATCCTTATTTGCTATGCGTAACAACTCAAATGAGTCTTAGTGGTTATTTGAATACCAATACTGCATTGCAGCCATTATTGATTACCTGATTGTTGTGTTCGGCAACCACCACATTCGCATATTAGCGTTAACGGCAAATTAGAATCGACCTACCGGGCTGAAAAATTTGCTCAGCCGAATTTAAAACAGGCTTTAATTTTGCGTTATCCGACGCCAAAGTCTGTTACACAACTACCCTCCCAAACATCGTCCGCGAATAACGTCAAGCATGTTTAAGTGTCAAATATAAATAGTTAAAATTTAAGACATTTTGATTTTTTTTTAAAAAAACTTTCACTCCATTATCAATTGATCCCTTTTTTTTCGATGTCGTTACCAACAATATTCAATCTAACGGATTCATTATCGCAAGATTTTTCAAAACTATTGAAACAGGATATCGCAGAAGACTTTGATGTTTCAATATCGGTCGGGGAATTTCCAAATAAAATTTTCTTTGCACACTCTCTAATATTAAAAGCTAGATCACCCTACTTTCGGAAAATTCTATCGCAAAAAAAATGTGGACCAAGTGAAGACGTGATAACGTATACTTTAGCCGAACCGAATATTTCTCCAACCGTATTTGAATTTATACTTGGGTAATTCTAAAAAAAAAGAAAAAAGTTCGGATTTTGATTTTATTTTTGGAAATTTGGCAAATCGGTAACGAATTTATGTACTTTTTTTATGATTTTATAAATTCACGATGAAAATTATTTATTTTTTTTCATCATACCTGGTCGATCAATTAGATATATCTACAGCGGCTGCTTAACGTTTAAAGATACACAAGACAACGAGCTAATTCTTAACACGGCAATAGCATCAGCTGAACTTTGCCTTACCGAATTATGCGATCTACTACAATGTCACTTATTATATCTAAAATTTGAATGGGTCTGCAGAAACTTTGTATTAATCCAGAATTCGATATTACGACGTGAAGGACTGGAAAAATTACAGCAATATTGTACGGATAGACTTAAGAAAGAGCCGGAATTGATTCTTAGGTCACCAGATTTTGTACATTTAAATGAAGATATCGTTGTAGAACTTCTCAAACAAGTTAATATTCAAATGTCAGAAATTGAAATTTGGGATTACGTACTAAAATGGGGAGTGGCACAAACTCGAATGCTCAAGTAAGTATGATGCCATACAAGTATTCACAACAATAAACTGTTAAAACGAAGAAATAACGAATAATTATGTTAATTAGTGATAATTTTGGGCGATGGTCATCAAAAGATTTTCTCATATTGGAATTGTCATTGCATAATTGCCTTCCTTGGATCAGATTTTTCCATATGCCATATCGTGAATTTTCTATTAAAGTAATGCCATTTGAAAAGATCTTACCAAAGAAACTGGTTCACGATGTACAACGCTATCATTTCGTCCAAAATAGTCAACCGCTTTATAATACCATTCTGCCCCCAAGACTCGGTGTGTGTAACTCGTCAATCATTAAGTGGTGTCACATGGGATTGATTGCGAGTTGGATTGACCGCAAAGATTGTGAAAGTGATCTGTGGAAACCTTACGATCCCATTGAAATACCATACAAATTTGATTTGATTTATCGAGGAAGTCGAGATGGATTCACGCCAAAAATATTTCACAAAGCATGCGATAATCAGGGACCGACAATTACTGTGATAAAGATCAAGGGGTTGGATCAAGTTATTGGCGGATATAATCCGGTATCTTGGCAATCGTTTAAACCAAACGCCGGTTGGTCAAGAACTACGGAAAGCTTTATATTCTCGATAGGCATTGGTAAATCGGATTCACTGACAACCAAAAGGACAACTACCGTAAGTCGAGTCGCAGACGCGAGTAAAGCAGTTTATAGTTTTGTAGCGTTGGGACCCTATTTTGGTGATGGAGATTTGAAAGTCTGCATTCGATACGATAGCCTAAGTTGTAGTTGCACTCATAAATCTTATTCTTTGAAGATTCTTGAAAAGTCAGATTGGATGGTTGTTGAAGAATACGAAGTCTTCAAAATTGGAACCAAAAATGAAAATAAATAGAAAATCTATGATGGGAAGCTTAAAGGCAATATTGAAGGTGGTGCTAACGATGATATAGATAGAGATGATACTGTTTGCGAATTATTAGGAGAAAAAAAATAATATATAATTCCTAAACTACTGATAATTCAATAGACGAACATTAGCTTCAGAGATTTGTATTTTGTTAAACAAATGCAATGCTTCAATAACTAAATGAAACTCGTTTTTTCCGAAATTGAAATACTATAGTAACCTATGCTTTATTAACGTTAATTGTTGCATATTGATATTATTGCTGAAATTTGATGTCCCTATTTGAACAGATGTAACCTAAACTAGAGTTTGAACCGGTTTTATTTTTCATATGGGACCACCCGCAGCAAAAAGAGGCATTGAGACAATCATGTGATTTTGAGAAAATCACGATTTAAAATCGTC